TTTAATTTATTAATAATTTATTTTAAAATATTAAAATTTAATTTATAAATAATTATAATAAATAAAAATTGAATTCGATATAAATTTTAAAAAACTCCTTAAAAATTTGTGTTCTCCAAGAAAAATCGCTCTCATAGAACATATCCGTTCGAGTTTGTTTTATATACAAGGTTAATTGAATTTATAGAAATAATTTCTCATCGTTTTAAATGCTGGTAACATCTGTGTAACCATTAGCAAATAGCAATCATGAATCACCCTTGTAAACTCATCATCATGTACAATCATGTCCTCTTTATCTTCCTCTTTCTCCACCCCATTTCCTCTTCAAAACTCCACAAAACCAAGCTTCTCACATCAGATTTTCTCTCTGAATCCACACCACCCACTGAGTACTTCGAGGTAACCGCACCCATTGAACTCCCCAAAACCAAACCTTGCACACACCACATTCTCCACCATGACTTTGGGTTCACCTATGGTCAACCCCCAGTTCTTGCTAACTACACCCCTCCCTCTCACTGCCCCTCTCACACCTTCTCCAAGATCGTTCTTGAGTGGAAAGCCACTTGCAAAGGAAGACAATTTGATCGCATTTTCGGTGTTTGGCTTGGTGGGGTCGAGCTTCTCAGAAGCTGCACCGCAGAGCCAAGAGCCACTGGCATTGTTTGGAGTGTCCAAAAGGACATCACAAGGTACCACTCTTTGTTTTCAACTCCCCAAACCCTTGCTGTTTTTCTGGGAAACGTTGTGGACCAAACCTACACTGGGGTTTACCACGTTGATGTCGCCATTTACTTTTATCCTTCCAATGATGATGTTTCCAAGTCAAAGGTTGGAGCTTTGGCATTTGGGAGTGGTGTTCCTGCGGATTTGGTCCTGCCCATTTCCAGGAACCTTCCACTGAATAGTGGGTTGTGGTTTGAAATTGAGAATTCCACTGATGAGGGTTTGAAGGAGTTCAAGGTGCCCCAAAATGCCTATAGGGCTGTTTTGGAGGTTTATGTTTCATTTCATGAGAGGGATGAGTTTTGGTACACTAACCCTCCTGATGAGTATGTTATTGCCAACAACCTTAGTGGTGCGGATGGGGGTGGTTCGTTTAGGGAGGTTGTGGTTACTCTTGATGGGAATGTTGTTGGTGCAGTTTGGCCTTTTACTGTGATCTACACTGGAGGGATTAATCCCCTCTTGTGGAGGCCTATTACTGGGATTGGATCATTTGATCTTCCATCCTATGATATAGAGATTACTCCCTTGTTGGGGACGTTGTTGGATGGGAAGAGCCATTCGGTGGGGTTCAGTGTGACCAATGCGTTGAATGTTTGGTATATTGATGCAAATTTGCATCTTTGGTTGGATGGGAAGAGCAGTAGAACAGAAGGAGGGCTTGTGGAGCTTGTTGACAAGCCTTTGGCTGTGGCTCTGGTGTCTGACTTTGAAGGTTTGAATGGAAGCTTCTGGACTAGTGCAACGAGGTCCGTTTTTTCCTCTGGATGGGTCAGATCCTCCTATGGGAATATTAGTACCAGTGTTGTTCAAGATTTTGCTTACAACAGTTCAATGGTGTTGGAGAAGAATGGGGATGAGCAAACTGTGTATCAAGTGATTATTTCCAATGGCAGTGTTCATGCTGACCTTACATCACTCTTTGTTGATGACACTTACAGAAAATTTTCCCTATACTTCTATGACATAGATAAGCCGGGTCAGGACCCCGATACAACTTTCTCTATTTCGAATATTACCTTGGGAATTGATGAGAACAAGTCTAGGAGCTCGGCTTTTGGAGTTTCAAAGAGTGCTCTCAAAAATGTGCAGGATGGGCATGCTACTATGGTTATCAAAGGGAATTTGGTTGTTAGGGGACTTGGTGAAACACAGCAAGATTACCGTTACACAAGTGATGGCCATTGTTATTCTAGGAAAGTTGGCAGCTCAAATTACACAATTCTCTACGACAAAGTCGGACATTCATGTAACAAAAGAAGTCAGTCTCATCATGGTCTTAATTCTATCAAAAAGTTGTTTATTATCTAGGGTCGTTTCTGTTAAGAACAGAGAAGTTTGGTCTACCCTGCTTGGTCCTACAAGTCCTTACTCTCCATGAAAATTTTCCTATCTAGCTCCAATTGCAGGTATTTGTTCTGTGCTTACCGTTCCAGTTTGTTATTTATTTGCAATTAAGATTTGTGAGTCTGTTTTACTCTATTTTCAACAAATATTGCAATAATAAAATTGTGATTTTCTTCAACAGTTTAATCTATAACATGATTAGTTTTCGGTGCTTGTTTGTATGTCCAAGAAAGTTTATGGTTGAATAGTAAGTGTCCAAGAAATTCTTCATCAAGTCTTGAATTAAAACAAAAGTATGGTGGCCTTTGCCCTCATAACAAGTGTTTTTGGCATCTTATATGAGAGATAACAGGGAAGGATTTTGGATTAACCTGATAGCATTGATGAGTTTCATATTATTTTGTCAGGTTAATGAGTTATATGCTTCACCTCTTTTGTTAGGAGTTTCTCTAAGAATGGATGGAAAGTAGAATTTTTGCTTGTTTTGTGATCAAGAAGCAAGTTTAAGTTTGAACTGACTACTGACCTTCCATTATGTAAATTTTTTATGCTGCAATTACCGAACCAAATGAAAATGAAATCAGAATTTATTTGCTCTCAGTTGGTAATGTGTAACATTTTAGAAGCTACGCAAAGAACATGTCATTATCAAATGTTAAAGAAACTAAAATAACGTATGAGTGCAAAATAATGCTTCATTACTCCATGAAAAAGTATAGTTATAGGGTTGGTTTCCAATGGTTAAGGTTCCAGGCTTGAGCAGAAAGAAAAAAACTTATGATGCATACATAACAGAAGAAATAATTATAGGGCTTCTCTTTCAAGATGTTGTTCAAATGTTGTTAGTGAATCAGTCAAATAAAACGTCTATTATTATTGAATCTATTGTACAAAATCAACTTATTCATGTCAGTATTAGTAAAAAATATCACATAAAACTCAATTATTACTGCAAAATGACTTAATCTGTCACTTTTTATGACGATAATTGTAGTGTTAAGAGATTAAAATAAGTTTTTTTTTTTTAATTTCAAGAATTAAAAATTCAATTTTAAATTTGAAAGGTAAAAATAAATTTATTTTAAATTGGAGAAATTAGAAATATATTTAAATACTTCTTCTTAAGAGAGTATATGAAGAAAAAAGAATCTAGGTAGCAAACGAACCGTTAGAATCTTGTATAAAAGAAAGAGTTAATCATGTATACATTGTCAGTGTAAAATTTTTTTACACTGATAATCAATTATATCTCCTAATCGTGTCATGTCACTGTTAAAAGTAAATATATTTACAGTGACATGACACAATTGAGAGATATAATTGGTTACTAGTATAAATTTTTTTTTACACTGACAGTATATAGGTGATTAGCTCTAAAACAAATGTGTAGAATAATTAAGTCATATGGGTGTCTCTGAATGCGATGGCGCGTCCTCCAGTTACTTGTGTTGGAACACGTTAATAATATAAGATTAATTAAATGCCTTAAATGAATAATGCTTGCATAGAATGATTAAAAGTATATATTTAATAATAGTGAAGTCTCTTGTCTTTATTAGTAACATAGAACAGGGTGTATTTTCACTTTTAAAAATAAATAATTTATTTTAATATATATGTTGGGCATTGGACATATTTTACACAATTTTTTTTTATAATTGAGTGACACTCACCAAGTACCCATTGAGTCATATGGATTTCTCTTCCTATATAATTAAACTTGTATGCAATTTACTTAATAATAAAAATACCATGTTACCACAGAATCTGTGAAAAGGTAGAGTTTAAATGAATCAAAAGGTAATGTGCAAGTAAAAATGATTCACGTGAAAGTTAAACTATTATATAAGTTTTTTATATATACTCAATTTATTGAATTTACAAGAGAGCTCTCTAGCATTAAAAAAAGAAAAAACATGTCCACCTTTTGATGCGTTTGTTACCCGGCTTTTCCATTATCTAGGATTAAAGTAAATGTGAAGGTAATTCATTTTTAAATTAAGTAAAATAAAATTAAAATTATCATAGTTACATTTAAAATTTATCTTTTTTCCTTTTCTAAAATGTAAAGATATTTTTAAATTATAGCAATTATGTTTAGAAAACATTTTTAATTAATAATAGTTCCGATTTCAAGTCAGTTTGTATCATTAGCATTATCAAATTTAAGATATTATCTTATTGGTATTTATTGAGTTGTTATAACTTTGATTCAGAAAGATTTTTTTTATAGGTTAAAGAAGAAAAGTATTTATAAACTACTTTAGACTTTTAAGAGTAATTACATCTTCTAATTTTATTTTTGAGTTTTTTTTTATCCTACATATACATATCACTTGTTTTACCTTTCCAATATAAACAATTTTATAAGCCCTAACACCTCTAAATCAACATTTTTATAGAAGTTGTTAAATGGGTCCTGTACCAGAGAGACCGTATCGGTCACGTGGGCCAACACGTTACAAATCTACTATATTTACAAACATAGAAAAGGTCTTCAAAATCATCCCATTCCTCTTGGTTCATTTAATGTATCACCTCTTGGATTCCTTGGCCTTGGCATATTTCCATCATCTCGTCCCTCTTGAAAAGGATTTGACCTCAAATCTCGAGAGTCTTCATGATGGTCATCCACACCTACAAATATATAATAACATTCATTAGAGGTGACATTGTCACTTAATGAAGGTGAAAGGTGTATCCTGAGAGGAATCCTTTCATAGAACTTAATAAAGAAGTTAATGATACTAGTCCTTCTAGAAGAATTAATAGGATCCTTTCCTAAACATAGTCTAGGTATATTACTAAACCCTAAGAAAGTGCTAAAACTAAGACTATAACTCACTAAAGACTTAATCCTAAAAACTAAAACATCTTGCCTAAAGTACCCTATGTGGTAACCTAGGCATTTCCTAGAAAACAAGGAAAATACTACTAGAAAATTTCCTAAGCAATTTTGGATTATACTATTTGTTGGATAGTTATGAAAAGGATTTGTCACAAGTAGCCTTGAAGGCTCGAATGTTTTATCCAATAAATAATATATTCCAAGAATTGGGTGCTTTGTTAAAACAACTAAGGTAGGAAGATTCCTACACACAGGAAAACTATCTACCTTGGGCACCACTAAGGAAGTAGTACAAGAAGCAGGACTAAGTGAACTTCACTTCTTTTTCACTAAATCTTGAAGTAGAGATTCTTTTTCTTTAAAAATAATGGACTTATGAATCTCTTCTTCAAGACTAGTGGCAACATGAGGGAAATAGTTAAGGTCTTTATGAATAAAGAGAATATTTCTCGTAGGTTTTTTAGTGATAAAATAATTCTATTTAGTCATAACTCCCTTAGAGGATATATCTTCCTCTTTACTCTTTCCTAAAAGTGATTTCTTTTTTTTTTTTTTTCTTTTTCTTCTTTTTTTTTGATTTTCATTTGTGCTTGATCCTCAGCCACTTGTTGAGGTAAGAGAGGATAAAGCACAAATTTCTCTTCCCTATGAGTGAAGGTGATTTCATTAGTAAGACCATTGTGTATAGTTTTCTTTTCAAATTGTCATGGTCTTCCTAACAAAATATGACAAGCTACCATTGGTACTATATCACATAAAACTTGATCTTCATACTTCCCCATGGAAAACTGGACCTTCACTTGTTGGTTAACTACTATGTCTCCATCCTTATTGAGCCATTTTAAATGATAAGGTTGAGGATGTGGCATAGTAACTAAACTCAACTTTTTAACCAACCTAGTGCTACAACAGTTGCACCATGAACCACTATCTACAATGAGAGAACATGCTTTATTTAAAACATTACATCTAGTATGAAAAATGTTCTCTCTTTGATATAAAGTACCACTACATTGACTATTAAGGATTCTTCTAAGCATTAGGAGTTCTCCTTCATAAGGATAAACTGACTCTACATTGGACTTTTGAAGTTTTGTTTCATCCTCACTCTCACTTGAAGAGAAGGTAGTAGTCTCTTCTTGACTACTATAAGTGTCATGCCCCATTAAAATCATGACTTTTTTTGTAGGGCATTGAGAAGCAATGTGGCCTCTCCCTAGACACTTGAAACTTTTGATATCACTAGTCTTTGTGCTAGTGTGTGGAGTGATGGTACCTTTTCCCTTATCTCTACTCTTGTCTTTATTCTTAGCTAATTCCTTGGAGGGCTCTAAAATATTTTTCTTTTCAAAAGGTTTTTCCTCCTCCATGTAATCTTTCTTATGAGATCTAGAATGGGAGTTTCCTCTTTTAGAAGAAGATTTTCTCAATATTTGTTGTTCTACCTTTACACAAAGTTGGACCAAGTCATTTAGGTCCTTGTAGGGTAGTAGCTCCACTTGGTCTCTAATCTGTAAGTTAAGACCACTTAGGAATCTAGCCACAGTGGTGGCTTCCTCTCCCCTAATACATGCTCTCATCATGTATAGCTCCATTTTTTGCCTATATTTTTCAACAATCATATCTTTTTGTTGGAGCCTTTGGAGCTTATTCATAAGCTCCCTACCATAATAAGAGGAAATGTGTCTCCTCCTCAATGCACTCCTAATATCATTCTAATATTGGATAGGAGGATCATTGTGGAGGCGCCTTTCTCTCTCCAATGAGGTCCACCAATACATTGCATGCCCTTGAAAGATAAGGGTTGCAAGGGGCACCTTCCTCTCTTCACTTACCCTATGGAAAACAAAGAGTTATTCTACCTTCATCTCCCAATCAAGGTAGGCTTCAACATCATCCTTCCCAAAAAATTGAGGGAGATCCATCTTGGATTCCCTAGGTTTAATAGTTCTTCTAGGTGAAGGTTGATAATGGTCACCCATATTAAGGCTTTCATTAGGAGATGTGTATTGAGTGGTTGCTCCTACTCCTTCTCTTTCGCTTTCTCATTTTTTTAAAGATTTTACTCCTCTTGTTTAAATAGTCTTAATTTCTCTTCAAGGATAGCAAGTCGGGCCTCCCTTTCAATTTTATTCTTATCTTTTTGAATGGCCTCTTGCTTCCTCCACAGTTTAAGAGACTTAAGCTCTTTAGTTAAGTATGAAATGTTTTTTGGAGACTTATCACTTCCATTATAATCAGATGGTTGAGACATTTTAAACAAAAGGTATTTTCACACAAAAATAGTTTTTAAAGAAAATAATATTTTTTTTAAGTGCTAGACTTGGAAC